CGTTGGAACCCTGATGCAGACCAACAGCCCTTAAAACCGTTTTTTGGAAACGGATAAGCCTAGATGCTTTCAAAACCGAAACATTCATCTCTCTTACATCATCTTCATACAAACAAACATACACAAAGCACAATTAGAATTGCGTAATGATATTTTGCAACATCTAATTTTTCATAGAGAAATTGACCTGCAGTAGAAATAGTTGTAAGGCCTAACTTTATTAACACGGCGGAAAAGTATACAATGTACAATATTGATAAGGATTGAAATGTATTCTGACCTATGAAACATGAACATGCGTGTCAAAAGGTTTAATCATGTGTCGACGTTGGGTAGACATAGATATACGTATCAACAGTTCTAGAAACTCGTACGACACTCCTATACAGTCTCGTTTACATAAGCCACTATTCCTATAAATAAAAGTATACTTTTATTTCAAGTACTACTATACCTTCTAGGGTTTTTCCCTCTCCAAAGTCCTTATTTTTACTGCTTCCAAGTCGTAGACCTACGGATCTTCATCTCACCTCTTCGCCAAGGGCCGGTTTGGATATTTGGATTTTTCAATCTTGGAAAAAATCAATCCTAGAATTAAGATTTCCTGAAAATGTCAATTCCTTGTTTGGATCGCATACGGTGGAAACCAAGAAAGTGCAAATTTCCTGTTTGGATTGTCCGGAATATCTTTGTTTGCAAATGCAAATTCTCTCTTTCTTTCTAAAATTTTTGAGATAGTTTCCCTTTCCAAAATTTTACTACTCTTTCAAAAACTTAAAATTTGAAATAATTTCTCTCTAAAAATTTGAGATAGTTTCTCTCTCTAAAAATTTTATATACTTTCTCTCTCTAAAATTTAATATAGTTTTTCTCTAAAATTTTGAAATAATTTATCTCTCTAAAACTTAAAATTTTAGGTGGTTTCTCTCTAAAAAATTTTGAAATAGTTTCTCTCTCTAAACAATTCCAAATAGTTTCTCTTTCTAAACAATTTAAGGTAGTTTCTCTCTCTAAAATAGGATATAGTTTCTCTCTCTAAAATTTTATGGTACTTTCTCTATCTAAAACTTTAAATTTAAGATAGTGTCTTTCTAAAAATTTTGAGCTAGTTTCTCTCTCTAAGAAATTTTAGGTACCCTCGCTCTAAAATTTAATATAGTTACTCTCTAAAATTTTAATATGTTTTCTCTCTCTAAAACTTAAATTTTTAAGTAGTTTCTCTTCCTAAAATTTTTAGATAGTTTCTCTCTCTAAATTATCAGGTAGTTTCTCTCTTTAAAATTTTAATATACTTTCTCTCTCTAAAACTTAAAATTTGAGATAGCTTTTCTATCTAAAATTTTTCAAATAATTTCTCTATCTAAAAATTTAGGTACTATCTCTATCTAAAATTTGATATAGTTTCTCTCTCTAAAGTTTTAAGATATTTTCTCTCTCTAAAACTTAAAATTTAAGATAATTTATCTCTCTAAAATTTTCAAGTAGTTTCTTTTTCTAAAATTTTAATATGCTTTCTCTTTTTAAAACTTAAAATTTGAGATAGTTTCTCTATCTAATTGTTTTTTAGGGAAATGACCTTGTGAGACCCTCCCACACCCATGTGTGTAAGAACACAAATGATTACCATTAAATTTAACACATATTTCTAGAAAAGTCAAATTTCACACCCATGTGATAAATTTTTTAGATATGTGTCAAAATTTATGGTAATCTTTTGAGGTCCTACACACATGGGTATGGGATGGTCTCATAGGATCATTACTCTTTTTTTTAAATAGTTTATCTCTTTAAATATTTCAAGTACTTTTTTTATCTAAAATTTGATATAGTTTCTCTCTCTAAAAGTTTCAAGATATTTTCTCTCTAAAACTAAAAATTTGAGGTAGTTTATCTCTCTAAATTTTTTTTGGTAGTTTCTCTATGTAAAATTTGATAGAGTTTCTAATCTCGAAAATTTTAAGAAGCTATCTCTCTAAAAGTTAACATTTGAGATAATTTCTCTCTCTAAATGGTTTGAGGTATTTCTCTCTAAAAGATTTGAAGTAAGGGAAAAGTTTATATAAGGTTGCAACCTTAAAGTGTAGAATTGCAGATGCACTTCAAAAATCTATCGGAAATGTTGTTTTAATGTTAAAAAAACCCTCTAATCTATCATCTCGACATTGAGATGTATGAATATGAAAAAAGAAAAAAGTTTGAGTCTCGGAAATAGTGCATCTTGCAACACATTATCTAGACCGTCTATTTTCAAGATTTTCATATACTTATAGATCTACTTGATTTTAACCATTTTTAGATTTTAAAATTTTTTAATTAGGTTTGAAAATAGATTTTAAGATAATATTAATAAGTTTTTAAAACAAAATTACATGTTATGAT